TACATCATTTAGTTTTTACTCACTATAGTAATATAAAAATAGTATTTGTATTTAAAAAAAAAAAACCTTTTCCTGAACTTTTCTACAGACACCTTAGTACTACCTCGCAGTTTGAAAACCCCTCATATAGAGTAAAGTTTTTGTTTTGTTGTTTTGTTGATCTGTAGAAGGTGTTTCTGCATTTCTAACAAACTAATTGTGCAACTATTATCAAAAATACTTGGAGAGGAAACATAATCATCCGTAATGTAATGCCCTGTGATCTGTAGTAAGATTAAGTGTGTTTCTTAAGACAACAACAGAGGATGTGCTGACAGTGACCTTATAATCCCCTGCTATCTGCCGCACACTCATTTTCTTCAGCCCTGGCATTCAAAACACAGCCCTCCTGATAATGGTTCTGGTCCACTGCTCGTCCAGTGCAACATACTGCTACTTACTTGCTCGCATTTAACACACTGAAATGCATTAAATAAAGCTGTAAGCTGTCCCACATTCTGCAGGCCCACAGAATAATAACTCCACAGAAGATGTTCACAAGTTCTTCACATCACTCTCCCCTTCTGTGTTCATTTATTAAATATTTAGGTTAATTTGATAATGCTTTCAGCTACCAATAAGAATGTAGTGCCTTAGCTGCATAAAACACTGTTTAACAAATTTGAATCCATTTATCAGATCCATTATATCCCCCAAATATAGTGCAGAAAAATTACAGATTTCATTTGGGCCTGACATTAAGCCCAAAGTGGCCATGCTTTTACCACATTTAGGGGGTATTCTTTGGGAAAATGCAAAGTGGAGGGCTATTGCAAATCCAATGAAAAAAACAGTATTTTGATTATGCGGTGCTTGATTCATAATGTTTTAGTATTTCACATTTGATCTCTGATCAAATAACAAGAATAAAACAATATCATTATCTTTACAGCCTCAACAACAATGCAAATCACTGGCCTCTTGCAACATTGAATACGAACAACTCCAGCAATATTGATGAGTATGTGGGAAAGTTAAATATTATTACATGTTGTGCCGAAGTACATTCTGCTAATTGTTACATGCTAAATATCAATGATCATTTTAATGCAGCAAAAAGGACGACAGGGAGATAAGAAAGAAGAACTAAAAAAGGATGAGAAGAAAGATAAAAAGAAAGTTGAGAAGAAAGATGAGAAGGATGAGAAAAAATTAGAAAAAGAAGGAAGAGGAGAAACCGTGAGTATTTTATCTGATTTGAAATGCAGTTAAATGTAGTTATTTGTTCAGTCTGGAATTTATTTATTTATATGTTTGTTTTTTAGAAAACAGGTTTGGATCATGGATCCAGCGACAGATTTGTACTATCACTGGCTGACCATTGTAGCAATACCTGTCTTCTATAACCTAATGATGCTTGTTACCAGGTACATTTATACATTGAAAGTTTCATTATATTGCATGCTGATTATTAAAATATATTAATGCTTTGAAGGTATTTTAAAGTTTTATAATATTAGTATTCAAATAATATTTCTTTATTATTTAAAATAATGGGAATATTACAGCTAATTATAAAACGAACAAGAAAACTATATGCAGAAATATATATCATTATATTCTGTACTTCAGAGAAATGTTCTGGTGTTATTGTGTGGTGACAGTTTTAATCTTTTTTTTTTTCTTTTTAAACAGAGCCTGTTTTAATGAACTGCAGGATGACTAAACCATCGTATGGATAGTTCTGGACTATTCATCAGATGCCATCTACTACATTGACACTTTTGTGAGATCAAGAACAGGTGAGATTATTCATCGAAGTCTCTGTTTGTGCTCAACTAGTAGTATTTAACCATAACAGTAAATGTAAACTACAATCCCTTTAAAGCGGTGGTTCTCAACCTTCAGCAAATTTCCAAATCATGAATTCTATATTTAAGTAATCTCTAAAACTCTAAATTAAAAATGTTACTTACAGAAAACACATAAAATCAAGATGTAAACTAAAAATTTTTTTTTCTTTTTAAAGCTATTGCTTTTATTGAAGAACATACAGTACTAGAATACAGAACGTAGCTTCTGAAATCACTGCTCTACAGAGAAAAAAAAGTTGTTGTAAATACTGTACATAACAATGAAATTGTTTTGACAGGTTTCTTGGAGCAAGGTTTACTAGTGAGAGAATCTAAGAAGCTTTGGGAACACTACAGAAAGTCACCGCAATTCAGATTTGATGTGATCTCCATGATACCAACAGACATATTAATGCTGAAAGTGGGTTACAACAATCCCAAACTAAGATTCAACCGGCTTTTCAAAATGGCTCGTCTTTTTGAGTTCTTTGACCGCACTGAAACCAGAACCTACTTCCCCAACATCTTCCGAATCAGTAATCTCGTCCTGTACATCCTTATCATCATCCACTGGAACGGCTGCATCTTTTTCGCCATCTCAGAAACAATCGGCTTTGGTTCAGACACATGGGTTTACCCCAACATCAGCGACCCTGAGTTTGGCCGTCTTGCCAGGAAGTATATCTACTGCTTGTACTGGTCCACTCTCACACTCACCACCATCGGAGAGACGCCACCACCTGTCCGAGATGTTGAGTATTTATTTGTCGTTTCTGATTTTCTCATTGGCGTGCTCATTTTTGCCACCATCGTTGGTAATGTCGGTGCCATGATTTCCAACATGAATGCATCCCGCGCGGAGTTCCAGGCCAAGATCGACTCCATCAAGCAGTACATGCAGTTCCGGAAGGTCACCAAAGATCTGGAGGCCCGTGTCGTGAAGTGGTTCGACTACCTTTGGACCGAACAGAAGACCTGCGACGAAAAGGAAGTGCTCAAGAACCTCCCAGATAAACTCAAGGCGGAGATTGCCATCAACGTGCATCTGGAAACCCTTCGGAAGGTGCGTATCTTCCAGGACTGCGAAGCGGGTCTTCTTGTTGAGCTCGTCCTTAAACTTCAACCACAGCTTTTCAGTCCGGGCGACTACACTTGCAAGAAGGGTGACATCGGGCGGGAGATGTACATTATCAAAGAAGGCAAACTAGCTGTGGTGGCGGATGATGGCGTCACGCAGTTTGTGGTGCTCAGCGATGGCGCTTACTTTGGAGAGATCAGCATTCTCTGCATCAAAGGAAATAAAGCCGGTAACCGCAGGACTGCTAACATACGCAGTGTGGGATACTCCGATCTATTCGCGCTCTCGAAAGATGACCTAATGAAGGCCTTAACCGAGTACCCAGAAGCCAAAAAGGCACTAGAGGAGAAAGGTAGGGCTATTCTGATGAAAGACAATCTCATTGACGAGGCTGCGGCCAATGCTGGCGCAGACCCGAAGGACCTGGAGGAAAAGGTCAGTGTCTTGGAGACCAATCTAGATGTGATGCAAACCAAATTCGCTCGTCTTATGGCAGATTGGACATCCAGCCAGAACAAAATCAAACAGAGGATTGCCAACATGGAGGCCCGAGTGAAGACTCTTAGGCAGGAGGATTTGGACGAGGTTGTGGAGGATAAGAAGGACAAATAGATCTATACCGAAATAGACTTGACTTCATGGATTACACATTTACCCATATAGAGGAATCTGGCATCATTTGAGAGGAATTGCTTGATCTCAAAGTAGTACCGCAGGAACATGTACTATTTATAGATGATTCAGTAAGAGACTTGGCATTTCACAAGACCTAAATCTAATTTGTGAAGGCATGTAAACATTGACTGATCAGACAGTTTCAGGCTCACTAATGCAGGATTGTCTTAAAGTAATTTCGGACAACAATGCGCCAAGATCATCCTTCTGATCTTTGGGCAATTTGGTTGCTGATGCTGTCGCTATTAAGTATTGCAGTGTTTGAATTTAAGGTAGTGTGATTCCTAAATGGAATTTTAGGAGGGTTATAGGGATGGGTACTGAGAACCGGTATTTTTTTGGACCGCTACGTAATTGGGTCGATACCGCAATACCGATAAGCTTCAGGAAAAACGATACTGTTATCGATACTTGCGTTGTTTTATCTCTGTATACTTCAATGTTAACGACGAATTAGAAGCTGCTGCTTGTCATTTTCCTTCACTGAATGATGTGGCCAAGGTTTTCTCGATGTGCATGTGATGCATGTGCTTTTTGTTTTCATGTGTTTGCGTGCAATCAGTCATCGCGGCAAGATTGAAACGTTTGAAATTGTGGGCTCACGTTACAAAACTAAGCGACACCAGTGTCAGATGCAATATATGCAGTAGTGTAATAGTGAACAAAGGAGGCAACATTAGTAATATAATGAAACATTTACTAACAAAATACATCATCTACCTCAAGCAATGCGCTGTATTATGTCTCCCGGCTCCAGCTCCAACTGCAACTCGCGAGACACTAGGGTTGCCAACCGTCCCGTATTTTGGGCCTAATTGATTTGTCCCGTACGTGACTTTCCTTGTCCCGTTTTTTGACTGCTACGCTGATCTAACCACTGACTGATACAACAGCAGCTGTGCTGATCACTTGAGAATGATCAGCGATACCTGTCATCATCCAATCACAGCCCCCCTCACGCAGTATACGTTAAGTAAATCAAAAATCGTGAACATAACTAACTGTTTGAGCAAGGCTGCGCAATCCTCTCGCCTCACAGCAAGCGCCGCTCGCACTAACGGCAATTTCGTCCGTGTTTGACTTCAGTAAATCAGTTTCAATTTCAATTCTTTTAATCTACCCAGCACTTTTGATCCCAGTGTGTTGCTCTGTGTTGACGCCGACGGCTGCTCACGTGTGTCTCTGAGATCAAAAGAGAGGAAGAAAGTTTATCTCACGTTATATTCACCTTACAACCTGAACAACAATGCAAATAATGTGCTGTCCTCATGACCAGATGGTGGAATCAACTTCCCTACATGCAGAACTGACATAAAACTGCCTTTTTGTTTTATGAATTGTTTTATATACTTCACCAATCACCCTGTCTATATGAGGATTATGTGCTACACATGTGAAATTTGATGCGATGATTCTCACCTCGTGGTTGTTTCTGCAGCATTGACTGCTGCTACTGGAGTTCTGAGACTTGTAGACAAACTAATTACATTTATATTTTTATGCATTTCTATTTATTCAATGATTTGATAACCCATTGTACTAACCCGTTGTCTTCATCTCCATCCTCTTTAATAGATGTAGCTGAAGATCTCTTAGACAGGCCGAACTCTGCCTCAACCATCTCAGGAGTGAGACGGAGATCTGAGCTCTCGGACCTGCCAGAGAAATCAAACCACCATGAATCTGTAAGTGCTATCACAAACAATTAACAATGGAGGGTTTATTGAAACTGGTGGCTAATCTATATTTACACTCCAGATTGAATCTCGTCTCTGATGCTGTCGGGCAGAACCTGAAGAGCTGGAGGAGCCTCCACAGGCATCAAGACGATACTGAAGGGGTCAGACCTAGATAGATAAGAGTTTTGCAAGAGTTGGACTTACTGCATGAGAGGTAATGTGTAAAGCAGTGTGTGTGTGCGTGTGTGTACAATGCTTACAAGCATGGGGCGCAGTTGCTTATTATAGTTGAAATATTGGATAAAGTGTTAAAGGCCACAGAGGGAAACTTCTTCCACGCCATAATCCCTTTGATTATATCCTGCATTTGATATTTTTAAGAAAATGTTTACAGGGTTTACAATTTTTTTTCTTAATAAAATTAATGGAATATTATAAAACAAATAATTCCATTCCTGGATTCTGATTGTTTCAGGCAGTAATACAACATAGTGCCAGCTATGATAAAAAACTTAAAAATCACACTTCTAGACACTTTGTTCTTTGTGAAATTGTTTTAAACTGTGATGTGCAAAATTGTATTTTTGTGTAAATTCTTAACAAACCTTTCTATCTAGAAATTTCTTCTGAGTTGGAGGGACATGCACACCTACGGCATTGCCTTTAGTGACAGTGTATCGTGGCAGTGGACACAGATGAACGTCCAGGTCACACTCCAGGTAAAGCGGAGCTGGTTTGAAGGCATAAACATGTGGTGCAGGATTCTAAATTAAAATAAAAAAGATAGCATTAATTCAAACAAAGACTGAGCCGTGTTCAAGCATGTCTTTAAAATGTCCGAATTAAACTTCTGAAGTATATACATATATATTACATTTCTATTAGAGTTTATTTACAGTATTTCAAGTAACAGGTTTTTAATGGTTTTATTTTTCATTTTATTTAATGACAATAACCCTGCTTTGTTCATAGTATGGGCATGGCGTTCTAAGCAGATCATGATAGGTGAAAAAAAAAAAACATACAAAGATCCGGAGAGGGTGAGCGTTGGGTGGTCTGAGGAGTGCTTCAGGAGCACTGAAACTGAGTGTGGGACATAAATCATGATCTGATCCATCATCTTCCTCCTGTTTCTTATCTTCCTCATCTTCACTGAGATCTACAGCTGTACATGTCACCACAGGCAACAGCTCATCCTGTAAAAACACAATAATTAGATTTGCTGACAGACTTATTTTTAATGCAACCTTTGGATAAAAAAAAAAACAATTTGAATGGCTAAAAGTAACCCATAAGCATGTTTACCTGTGCTCCGGTGTGTAAACAGATAATGGCTGATAACCCATCAGTCTGTAATGCTGGGGGACCTTCAGAAAAAATTAGCAATTCTCATTCTAATTAATATTTCACAACTGGCTGAAACATTAATAAATGAATAAATAAAAGATATTTTGAGAAATGTCTTTTCATTGTATGAACAAAAACAAACAAACAAAAGCAGTCAATGGTAACTAAAACTGTTTGGTTACCCACATTCTTCCAAATATAATCTTTTGTGTTCAACAGAAGAAACAAAGTCATATAGGTTTGGAGCAACATGAGGGTGAGTAAATGACAATTTTCATTTTTGGGTGAACTATGCTTTTTAAATACTATTAAAACAATACTACTATACTATGCTCAGCACCGTTTTGGATTAATAACTGGCTTTCATGTGGCATTTCCTGATTTTTTCTTTGTGGCTTGCCACTCAACCATACACACACATAAAAACATCTTTCATGTATTTTGCGCAAATTAAGACATATTACAAAACCACATTTTTGCTGACAGACTTATTTTTAATGCAACCTTTGGATAAAAAAAAAATAATAATAATAATAATTTTGAATGGCTAAAAGTAACCCATAAGCATGTTTACCTGTGCTCCGGTGTGTAATGTCCGACACAGGTCAGGAGGAATAAATGTTGCTGCTGCATCATAAACAGATAATGGCTGATAACCCATCAGTCTGTAATGCTGGGGGACCTTCAGAAAAAATTTGCAATTCTCATTCTAATTAATATTTCACAACTGGCTGAAACATTAATAAATGAATAAATAAAAGATATTTTGATAAATGTCTTTTCATTGTATGAACAAAAACAAACAACTAAAACTGTTTGGTTACCCACATTCTTCCAAATATAATCTTTTGTGTTCAACAGAAGAAACAAAGTCATATAGGTTTGGAGCAACATGAGGGTGAGTAAATGACAATTTTCATTTTTGGGCGAACTATGCTTTTTAAATACTATTAAAACAATACTACTATACTATGCTCAGCACCGTTTTGGATTAATAACTGGCTTTCATGTGGCATTTCCTGATTTTTTCTTTGTGGCTTGCCACTCAACCATACACACACATAAAAACATCTTTCATGTATTTTGCGCAAATTAAGACATATTACAAAACCACATTTGACATTTCAAGCCAAAGGCTGCCACTTACAGTAATTCAGGAATTTTAGGGAAAATAAGACAAAAAATTCCCTTTTAAAAGGTAATGGAGTGGGAAAAAACACTTTCTTCCCGTACCTTTAGACTGAATAATGGAATGGTGAGTTTCATATCCGCTTCAGGCATTCTCACAGGAACATGCCTCAATGCATTCACAGCCTGAAAACCACAACACAACTTCATCCTCAATGTCACAAAATATGCACTGTTATTACACATCTCAAATATTGAACTGAAACTTTTTGGCAATGTTCAAACAGAATGAACCTCTATAAAACATTTGGATTATATTTACAGTAACTAAAAACATTTAAGTTGTAAAATCACAATTATAAAGTACACAAGCTCTGAACAATAACCATAAGCAGTCTCTCACAAGTTCATCAGGTTGGTCTTCAGGTATAAATGTATTAAAGGTGAAGGGCAGAAGTTTTTCTGATAAGAGGTAAGATTTTCTGGGGTAGGTAAGATTTTTTAAAAATGTCTCTTAGGCTCACCAAGGCTTTCTATTTTGATATATTTATAAATGTAATTTATTCCTGTGACGTCAAAGCTACATTTTCAGCATCATTAATCCAGTCTTCAGTGTCACATGATCCTTCAGAAATCATTCTAATATGCTGATTTGCTGCTCAAGAAACATTTATTATTATCAATGTTGAAAATATTTTTGTTGTCAGAAGATTTTGTTCTTTGATCAATAGAAACTTCAAAAGAACAGCATTTATTTGAAATGTTGAAGTCATTACTGTCACTTTTGATCAATTTAATGTGTCCTTGTTGAAAACAAGTATTATTTTCTTTAAAAAAATTCCAGACTCGCCTGATTCTTTGTCTCCCTGCAGACTCCTGGTTTTGTGAACAAGCTCTCTTAGTGACACCAGTCTCTTGTTCATACGACATTGAAGAACAACCTCAATTAAACAAAACACAGCGTAACATTATTATACTTATTAGTACAGTCAAGTATTTTATTTACAAGCACTGGTAATCAGCACAGCGAGTTGTAAACAAGCAACACAGTAATGTGCTAAATAATAGTTTAACGACATTCAAATTAAATTACATTAAAAAGGCAAAGGCTGAGTTATGTTACCTTTCGAGCAGCCTGCTGGAAGAGTCTGAGCGCTCTCTGTCTGACCTCCAGCTGGCCAGTGCCATAGCTGCTGAAAATAGCAGTGCATTCTGGGAGCTGTTGAATAAGTCTTAAAGATATGAATTTTAAGATAATGACTTGAGCTAGATGCTAATACGTACATGCAAAAAGTACTTTATGTGATAAGTGGGTCTGCAGTATCAAGATGCAATTTCATGATATGAGCTTAACATACCTACTCAAAACTGTATTTTCCCACCATCAGTGAAGTACGTACTTGCAATATAAGTATGCAAATTGGGACACAAACTACGTTAAAGATACAGGCTAGAAACATGATTTTCAAGATCAACATATATTCAAATATTTCAGTGTCACACTTTCACATACCTCTCCAACATGTCGCAAAATTTGCCGTGAGGAAAGTTTAGTTAAAGTTCTTGAAGAGGCCACTGACTCGCCACTGTATTTTAGCTGAAACGCACATAAAATGCATGAGCATTCAGTGGAAATTGACACAAAATGTTCAATCAGAAATCATTCTAATATGCTGATTTGCTGCTCAAGAAACATTTATTATTATCAATGTTGAAAATATTTTTGTTGTCAGAAGATTTTGTTCTTTGATCAATAGAAACTTCAAAAGAACAGCATTTATTTGAAATGTTGAAGTCATTACTGTCACTTTTGATCAATTTAATGTGTCCTTGCTGAAAACAAGTATTATTTTCTTTAAAAAAAATTCCAGACTCACCTGATTCTTTGTCATGAATCAAACCAATACACTGGCTTACTTTGTATGCAGCAAGTGCCTCGTCTTGCTCCTTCAAAATGTTACGTTTCTGTTCTGTTGAACATGGGTCATCACCCAGATCAACTTGCCTAAGGATATAAAACACACTATCAAGGGTTGTCTACTTCACCATAATATCATATTGTTTGCAAACTCAGAATATCTATGTGTCATACATGTTATATAATCACATGGAGCAACACACCAGCAGATATTATTGTTTTTCTCCTTTTGTTGGACCTTCTTTAAAAATGCAGCTTCCTTCATCTCTCTTGTCTGGTCTGCAACCTTGGTATAGGACATGGCTTCAATAAATAAAACACAAAGGTATCTTGCATTAAATAAATGTAATTTGTGGTCACATCGATTCATATTTGATTAGTTTTATGTTGTTTCACAAATCCAATCCAGATCTGTTCATGTACGGTTTAAAATCTGATTAAATCATTAAAATTGGATTTCAGTGTTTCGGCCATAACAGTCAGACTATAATTCAAGGTTTTTGTTATTCAGTATATATAACATATTTAACATCATACACACCACATTGGGTAAGACATGTTGCTGAGAGTCGGGTAAGAAAGATTTATTTATTTTTTTAATCTCTACTGCTGTCATCAGATTTTACTAGAATTACACACAGAGTGATGACACTGGCGAGGGCAGCACAAAATAAAGGGGTAAATATGAGCTAAAGAATGGCCTTAGAAGTCAAGAAAAGCTCCACTGTAAATGGCCATTTTCAGGTCGGGTAACTTGCAAAAGGGGCATGTAATTGGTAGACTATTAAATGGAGCGCTATTTATTATTATCTGAGCTCCACTCTGCTAAAAGGACCAGATTAGATCAGCAGCAATTTCCATGCTGGTCCGGGAAAGTTTTTGCTTTAAAGTGCAAGTTTGATGCTGGTGGACCACCATAACTCTTTGTCTTTTGTAGGTGCAAAAACATCACTCTGGTTGACCAATTCCAGTTAAAAAGCCTGGTGGAGACATCAGCATTCCAGCACGCAGATACTGTAGCCTTTGCCAAACTTTAATTTCCTGGGGTTTAGTTGTGCACCTCAGAGGCCCTCTGGATGAGAAATGGTGTTCTTACCCTCCGGAGGTCCTTGTATCTCATTTTGTCTTGTGGCTGGAGAAGCATTTTAACAAGTCCTGCATGAGTGGTGACATCTGTGGTGGAAACCTGCAGTTGAGGATCAAGTTTGGTCTTCTTCTTGCCTTATAAGAGCAAAAACAGAAAATCATGATCGTATGCATGATGAATCACTGTATGATTGTTGCAAGATAGTTTCAACCAGAATCAATGCTTTAATTTTTCTATGTACAAACATTAATTTTAATTAGTAGTAGTAGTAGTATTACCAATACTGATCATTTCATTATATATTTTTAATCTAATAGACTTGTAATATAGAAATTGCATACTTTAAACAATAACACAGCTAAAAGCTTTGCAGGCTTATGAGTGTAATTCTGTGTATGTGTTTCCCACATTTGATGGCTTACAGGGTATGCGGTCAATTCAAATTCAATTCAATAAGCTCAGTGCAAACAATAAAATTAAATTTGTGATTCAGTCTCACACAAACCTCTCTGCTACTGCTTTCAATGGGCCGAAATGAAACTGACCTAAGCTAATTCAAATTCCTGCATCTGTACAGCTTAAAACTTTTCAGACCCTGTTGAAAAAACCAGCACGACCTTGTTTTGGATTCTGGTTGTCTTGCTCAGCTTGAAAGACCAATATTTTTGCTGGTGAACAGCATGGCTTGGCTTGTCCTCCAGCAAGAGAAACACCAAACCAGCAATGAAATACACGGTGATTGAAGCTGATCTTTTCAAAATTGACACAAGTTTCAGAATACCTTCTCCAAGGAGGGAGTCGTTTAAAGCTTATAATGGGAAGTAACAGCCGGAGATTTTCCATCAGAAGTCATTTCCATCAGGTTTACTGAGGCACAGAAAACACAAATGCCATTAATGTTTGTGCAAAAAACATCTGATCATTAAGGCTGTTGCTATGTGGTTGCTAAAGTGCTATGAGTGTTTTGAACATATTGCATTTGGCATTGCTATCGCACTGCAATCTTTAAAGGGGACATTGAATGAAATTTTCACTTTTTTTTTTTTTTACTTTTTTTGCATTTAGTTAGATTTCTGGAGTGTTTGCCAGCTCAGAAAAGCTGAAAAGAAAACACGTAGCCAGTTTGTTATGGGCTGTCTGAGTCTGAAAAGGTGTCATCCAGTGAGCGGTTTCAATCTGCAGCCGGTTTCTATGTAGATAGCTAGCTATCTGAATAAAGCCACCTCCGAGACATATACGAAGTCCAAGGCAGCAATTCACGCGTCTTGTGTCGACATGGAAGAGAGGGGTGGGGTGAACAGTACCTCATTATCTTTTAAAGAAACATGCATTGCAAAGGGTCACTGTGAACAGAGCTAAAAAGGATGTTTTACAAAACCACTGAGGAATTTTAACCAAAGTATGTTACAGACATTTCATGAAGACCCTAAAGAATCATACTTGTGGAAACTTGCATCCGATGTCCCCTCTCACTTTATCTGTGTATTACCTGAGCAGCAGGTATGGAGATGAGGAACCCGTCACTGTGAAGATGACAGGTTTAGAGTTGAACAGAGAGATGACAAGCTGCAGTGTGATATCAGCTGTACCGTATTGCAGAGGTGCAAATGTCACTTTGTTTTAACAGTCTTTCCATTTGCCGGAATAATCCCTGATTAACATATGGATAACATAAGTACAGTACATAAAGTCTACTGTTCTAGTATATAACTGATCACTAACTAGAGTTCTTTCAATATTTATGCAGCTATACAGGTTCTCGTTGCTCTGTAGATATGTCAAATGTGAAGGAACCTGGTTACCCGACAGTGGTTTGGCAGTGAAAGCCTTATGGATCTGAAGGCAATGCACTTGGAACTCAAAATCTCTTGGACAATTGCAGAAAACAACAACAGCTTTTTACATTACATCATATTCCTCCCATATTCTTCCCCTTCTGTGATGTTTCTTTCAGTAACAACATGAAAAGTTTCCCTCTGACCACAGAGTACTATATGTGGAAATTTGGCTATGTGCTTCATGTGAGCACATGGCCAAATTTCTCCAGTGAAAACTTTGAATCTATGAATCTTTTTGTTTTAGATCAATGACACAAACGATAAGTCACATTGTATGGCCATTACATGAGCCATGTAAACATTCCACAAAACTTTTCACACACAAAAAATGAATTCTATTCCTTTTTAGCGAGAAGTGAAAAACCAACCAGAATCTTCCTGTAATCCTTTCCTACTTCAAAGCCACTGAAATGCAGTTCTAATGGTTCAGCCTGAACTACACTGTTACTCTTCAGTTTGGCAAACACCCCTGAAAAATAAACATACAAAGACACAATAATAAACATACAAAGAATTATATATCAATGTGAAATTACGTAAGTCTATCAGTTTCATAGGATACCAGTAATGTTAGTGCCCTGTTAGACAGCTACAGGTATAATGTTTAAGAAACAAACATTAGAAAAAGTGGTCTCACTAGTTTCCAGAAGGTGATGGGGGACATTTCCACTCCTTCTGGTGTCCTCCAGTAGCTGGCTGAGAGGAAGCAGTTTTTTTTTCTTTACACTTCTGGAGAAAGTCTCAGGGGCAGAATGAACCACCTCCATGCCGGCTGGACTTTGATCATAACAAATAATCCACACCTGTGAACTGATAGTTGACATGCCATTCAAGCAGTCTCCTTCAGTGTGACATTCAACACTTTGTCTTGTACTCTTGTAAACAACATTTTTCAAATTCTTGTATAATTATTATAAATTTATACAGTTATACAGTTTTAATGTGCTCATATTAACTGAGAAACTACATGGAATATAGAATAGTCATAAACATTTTAACCTAAAGTCTTGTTGTTTAATTGAAAAAATGTCCATGTTATTTTATTACTCCTTATATCCACTAGTATTTACCATTTTATAGTTTTGTGGATGTGTAATATCAATAAAATTCCCATCTCTCCTACTTAGCTTTACAGCTTTAACACATTTATGGAATTTCTATTCATATTAGAGCAAATAACGGAGGAAATTTCCCATGAACGGTTTGTTTTTAAAAACGTGCCGGAAGTCAGAGGTTGATGATACTGTAAACCACGCAACGTCAGCATTAAACGAAGAGTTTTATTTGAAATACATTGGTTTAGGTGTTCTTTTATTTGTTAATTGCATTTTACCTGAATCAAACGCACTAGAAACAAGGACGTACCTGTCGACTCTCCACTGAAGTCACGTCAAAAATCCAGTCACCATGACAACAAAAGACGCTGAGCTTACAAAGAGCAAAAAGGTCCAACTAATGATTTGTTGAACTGTTGAAAGTTATTTTCTTATAATTAGATCATTTTTTTGAAACCAAAAAAAAAAAGCCAAAATATTTTTATAGACCTAAATTAATAAATTTATTTATTAACCTCTTTGCCGTTTGAGTCCCAAAACCAAAATAATAGGAAATATCCCTCAGTCATTCTTGAGACATGGGACAAAACAGGTTCAGCAAGGGTAACTGCTATTAGGTTAAAAATAAAAATATTTTCAATTCTAAATGTCATGAGGGATTAATAATAGAATGTATTTAACACAATTATCACCTTCAATTTAATTTTCTCATTATTATACCAAATCTGTGTTTCTTAATGTCCTCTCACTACATCTAAAACAGTGTGTCCACAGAGAAGGGTTCAATCATTCATATGCAATAAAATGGATAAAAATGTTTTTTTAATGATGAAAAAGAGCTTGTTTTATCAAAAGCAACACTTAATAATATCTATCAAAGCAAGGTTGTTTTTTAATGACACATGCACGTCAATAAGATTTTAAAGTTGCGTCCCCACTTTTTGTCAACACCGTCAGACATTCAATAAAATGTAATAAAATCAGGGAATATCAGGGGCAGCTGTCACTCTAAAGGACCCCCTTGCCACAGTTCACCTCTGCAGAGTACATCACTGTCAGACAGGCTCTGCTAAGTTTTATAGTTTTAGAATATTTTAAATCCTAATGTTAATATTTCCTGTGTCACAGCCATGATATGTCAACACCATCTTCCAATTTCTGAGGAAATAATTTGAAATATTTAGATCATTTTATTCTCCTGAAGCAGGTTACATTAGCATCTAGCATCAACAGAAAAAAATTAAACGGCTACTACATGAACTCCATTGGTTTTGTGAAAGAAATGCCAAATTTGTCAGCCCCTATTTTTTCAATTTGGCACCCTGTTTTGTCCCACTTCTCAAGAATGACTGCCCTACAATTAAAAGAAGATACACAATTTTTAAAGTATATCTTTGAAAGCAGGTAGAAGTTTTGTACCTTCTTTATATATTTCAATCAATCAATCTTTAAAGTTTATCCCAAATAAAACTATTTGTTTTTCATGAAACCAAAAAAAGGGGTAACATATTTTCTAGACCTAATTGAAATTGATTAAAAATATTAAAAATGTCAAGTTAACAATTACATAACATAAGCATGTGTAAAGTTTAGTTCTAACAATATGATACAACTATGTTATAATTAAATTAACTGGGCCAACAGAGAAGAGAAAATTAATTCAATTTTATTTATTATGATATATTTCACTATTTTACAACAACAATACAACCATTTATAGGCATACAATGATATCAGTTTCTCAGAAAGTACATTCAATTATTAGCATGAGTAAACAATGCAAGAAATTATATACAACAGACAGCCATTGCACCACTGCATAGTTATACATATATACATAACATAAATATAAATTATATACTTGCGGCAGTCAAGATCATTCTTAAGTAAATAAGTTCATCTCAGCTTGTTGATGACTTCAGCAAACACAGTCAGTGTGGCTCAGCTCAGAGCTTGCGCCAGCTATGTTGTAGTAACGAGGCTGAGTGCTAGTGGAGCCTCTGAAGCAGGGTTTGTTTAAATGAGTAAATAATGAGTTTTTCAAGCATAAGGGATAGAGATGGTTAGGGTAAAAAGCAGGTGCAGGATTCATGTGCATCAGGAGTTTGTAGTCCTCTTCCACCTCTTGAATTGGGGCGAGAAGAGACGGCAACCCACAGTCCTTGTCCTCTGAGATCTTGCTTTTCTCGCTGAGCTCTTCATATAGATGGTGCTCAGATATGGCACTGATTTTATCATGCTGTTCTTTCTGGTGTGCAGAATGTTGGGTTGCCTCAGCATTCCAAAATGATGGCACGAATAGATTCTAGAAAGAAACATATGTTAAATATATGGTTTGTAAGCAATATTGTTATTGTTAACTTAAACAACTACTTTTTTCAGTGATTGAAATAAAGCTGAAATAAAACTTAAATGAAAATTATAAAGGTTGCCTAGAAACAACTGCTAGTAAATTTCACAAACAATCACAAAGAAATATCAAATAACACATTGAATTAAAAATGAAATTCTGAAGTAGAAAACCTGAAATTGTATTTTCTTGTAAAAATGTACTCCAACAATCTTTATTTTTAACGACTTTTATTTTTTTTTGTACTGTGTAGAAAAGAAATAGCAAGTAATAGGCTGAATGAAACATGACATTTTGAAGTAGAAAAATGGAAATATTCTTGAAGTATTGAAAATACTTTGAAGTATTTTCATGTAAAATGTACTTTAATAAACTTAGTTTTATTTATTTCTTTTTATTTATTTATTTAGTCATTTAGCAGACGCTTTTATCCAAAGCGACTTACAAATGAGGACAATAAAAGCAGTCAAAACTAACAAAAGAGCAACAATATATAAATGCAAATGACAAGTCTCGGTTAGCCTAACGCAGTACACGTACGTAGGTATATATATATATATATATATATACATACATATATACATATACACACATACACACACATACATACATACTAACAAACATATATATATGGCATGCCGTTCAGGAAATAATTATATTTATATTATGAAGTTTGAGTGTATGGAACGAAAGTCTGAATATATGGAACGAAAGTCTGAATATATGGAATCAAAGTCTGAATATATGGAATGAATGTCTAAAATTTTATAGAATTGCACATTTGACAATTATCACTGAATAATGTGCAGCTTGTTTTATTCTTGTTATCAGAGCAATAGCCTTTTGAATTGTGATACATTGTTAGAGGGTCAAATAAAGGTGGAACAGGTGTGTTTTTAGTCGTTTCTTGAAGACAGTTAAGTACTCAGCTGCTCGGATTGATTTGGGCAGGTCATTCCACCAGGAGGGAACAGTTAATGAAAAAGTCAGTGAAAGTGATTGTGACGAGTGGTTATTATAGTTTTATTTTTTTTTACAGTGCAGCTGAAACATGTTTAAGTTGAAGTACAACATTTTCTAAAACTAAAACGTGCAGAAATGTTAGAAAAAAACAATAAAAATGACAAAATCACTAAAACTAAAACTAAAAACAATCTTACTAAAACAAATCAAAATGAATACTGAAAATATAAAAATTAAAGCTAATTCAAAATATCAAATTCCATCTGATTCAAAAATAACAGTTTTTTTATGGTCAGATAAGAAAAGTTGTGTACGTTACACATATATAGAATGCGTAGTGGATTCACATGAGATGTATACCTTGAGAAGTTCTGGTAGTTTGGTTTTCGGGTACAGGAATCTGTACACTTTATAGATCAGCCAGGCGGCCAGGATTGCCAGAGGAAGAAAGATGGCAGCAGCAATCACACAGCTGATGAGCACTAATGCAAACACACAGAGAGAGAAAGATTGGCACCTTGGAATTCACCTTGAAGCTTCTCAATAGGAAACTATTCTTTTGAGTCACTTGAATTATTGATTAAAAAAAAAACATTGCTTCTTGAATCTGCTCTCCTGAATGAATGCATACTTTGTCAATTTGACCCCATACATTTGAATGAAGGCATAATTTGTTAATAGAAATTACACTGTAAAGCACAACATTATGTATACTTTTATATAATTTTAGATTGTATACCATACTATTAACTACTTTACACTTACACTTATTTTAATCTTATTGAATAGATGATTGTATGATTATTGCGTAATTGATTTATCGCAGGGTTGCTTGAAATACTTTGAGTCACAGGTGAAGACACACTTACCAGGTATGTTAGTCACACATACGGCAGAACTGAACTGTTTGACATTTCTGTAGCCTTTGGGAACCAACATAGCCTGTGCACAATATCTGCTCCAGGAATGTAGTCCTTTAATACTCAGTTTAACATAATCTTCATTGGTTTCGGCAACCTTCTTCTCCATTGCCTACAGGGACAAAGTTCATCTTATGATTATTGAAGATATTTATTTTGGATATTTTATATTACATAAAAAGTGTGAAAAAAATGGAAATAGATTATTTTCTGTTCATTATATGTAATGGTGATACTCATAATAAAGTAAATAAATACTTAAAATTGTCTATTTATCAATCCAGCATGAACCATTCACTTGTATTAGTCAATAAAAATATACAGTATATGCATAGAGAGAGAGAGAGAGAGATAGTTAACATGCTGAAATCCAATGTTATTTTAGTATCATTGACATACTGTTAGTTTTTATTAGTTTTTATTAATATTTAGAATTTGTTTTTCCTTTGTATATTTTCATTTTAATTTAAAAGTTTGAGTAATTTTACTGCAATTTACTTTTATAGTTTTTTCTTATTTCTTTTCTATAGTTTTTAATAATTCTTATTTCAGTTTTAGTTATAGTACGTCAAGTTAAACTAAACAAAAATGAGAAATGAATTGGCAACTAACTGAAACGGTTTTTAATATTTTACTTAATTTCAGTTAACGTTTAATTTTTTCTTTCAAGTACATATATCTTAACTTGCACATGAACAGAAGTGTATAACAAAGATGTCTGAGGCTTCAAAACTTCTGAAAAATGGAACTGGAAAAATTCCACTGTTACAGAAGAATATATGCATTTTTATACCTCCTCTTCGAAGCCTTCGATCCAGTATCTGATGATGTAGGACACTTGTGAAAACACGTCTGCAAGTTTGCCCACTTTCAGCATTGGAGCTTGGACATGCACATCCAAGGTATTATTTTGGATGACAAGATGCACAGTAGGGGGTCCTATGATAGCTACAGTGGAGCAAAGTAGTTCATATAATTATTATTGATGAACATTATTTTGACTTAACAACACAACAGAGTCTATAGTGCAAACTTAGAGCTGATTCTCACTTACAGTGCTTATATGGTGAAAATTCGGCTGTATTAACCCACTCAGAGAACAGCCCCTGATCCTCTGCCCGCACTTGAAAAATGTAGCTCCCAAACACAGATGGCAGTATTCCTACATCACATTTCAGCTCTTTGGTGTTCACACAGAGGGACAAGTCATTTTTTCTCAGGCTGCAAGGACAGGATGACAAACACAACAGACACAATATTTACGTAAGCATGTAAGGCAAATGTGTTATTCATGCAAGTAGAATAGGCCTATTCTTTTCAACTTCTGCAAAAGCTCAGAAGTATCAGATTCCAGCAGAACAATAGTTCAGTGACTTTTAGCTAGTTATGGTGGGTATATTTCATAATGGCATGCATGCATTTGTTGCTAGTGTAACGGAGGCCAGCGAGTAGGTGCTGTGCAAGGTAAACCTCACTCCCCTGATCTCAAGATACGCACTAGCGACTGACGCTAGTGGCTGTATCCATTTGTTAGTGCGTCCGCCTCCCATGCCGGAGACCCGGGTTCGAGACCCACTCGGAGCGAGAACGAGGTGCGGCGGAGCGGACCCGGGGGAGAGGGGTTACACTAGTTTATTTTTTCTTCTATATTGGAGTATTTAAGATGAATTTTGAGTGTATTTACATATATCTTGCCGTGTATGTCACGTTACTCATGGGATTGTGTGGAGATGTCCATTCAACAACTGCAGCCATATTGACGGAGGTCACCTTCACATTCTGGGGTGCAGCCACTTTTGCTTCTAAAGTAAAACAGTATGACCAATGTCAGTAATACATCTGATAATGCAGTTTTATAAAGAATTATGTAATATATAAAGTACTCCATAATGTATTTGGATTAAGTATTATAAAGTATGTAAAGTATTACGAGAGTCTAAACAGCTGATAAAAACATCAAAAACAAATCCATCATTAAGAAGTTTTTAACTTCAAATCATTGCTTCTGGCTAAAAAGTGGTCCACTATCTGCAATATTGCTTTCTCCAGTGAAAAAGTCATCTCCTCTGAATCAGGAGAGAAATATGCACAGATGAAGCACCATTTAAAAGTGAAAACAGTTTTAAAGAAAATCGTAGAAGGATTTTGATGTAAGAGGACAACGGGTGTTATTATGGACTCATATTTTGGACAGAAGCAATGGTTTAAATGCTTTAATGATGGATTTATTTCTTACAAACACAAGTCGTGAGGGGAACTTTTCCCTTTTCATATTCAATAGGTCCACAAGAAATACTGCTATGATCTGTGACAGTCGTAAATACATGTATCTTTGTGCAACATATTTACACTACACAACAGAGTCTATAGTGCAAACTTAGATCTGATTCTCACTTACAGTGCTTATATGGTGAAAATTCGGCTGTATTAACCCACTCAGAGAACAGCCCCTGATCCTCTGACCGCACTTGAAAAATGTAGCTCCCAAATACAGATGGCAGTATTCCTACATCACATTTCAGCTCTTTGGTGTTCACACAGAGGGACAAGTCGTTTTTTCTCAGGCTGCAAGGACAGGATGACAAACACAACAGACACAATATTTACGTAAGCATGTAAGGCAAATGTGTTATTCATGCAAGTAGAATAGGCCTATTCTTTTCAACTTCTGCAAAAGCTCAGAAGTATCAGATTCCAGCAGAACAATAGTTCAGTGACTTTTAGCTAGTTATGGTGGGTATATTTCATAATGGCATGCATGCATTTGTTGCTAGTGTAACGGAGGCCAGCGAGTAGGTGCTGTGCAAGGTAAACCTCACTCCCCTGATCTCAAGATACGCACTAGCGACTGACGCTAGTGGCTGTATCCATTTGTTAGTGCGTCCGCCTCCCATGCCGGAGACCCGGGTTCGAGACCCACTCGGAGCGAGAACAGCGAGAACCGGAGCGGACCCGGGGGAGAGAGGGGTTACATATATACTAGGCTATTTAATAATAGTTCAAATTTAAAATGGGCAATATTGTGCTGAATCTGTATTAACCCACTCAGAGAACAGCCCCTGATCCTCTGACCGCACTTGAAAAATGTAGCTCCCAAATACAGATGGCAGTATTCCTACATCACATTTCAGCTCTTTGGTGTTCACACAGAGGGACAAGTCATTTTTTCTCAGGCTGCAAGGACAGGATGACAAACACAACAGACACAATATTTACGTAAGCATGTAAGGCAAATGTGTTATTCATGCAAGTAGAATAGGCCTATTCTTTTCAACTTCTGCAAAAGCTCAGAAGTATCAGATTCCAGCAGAACAATAGTTCAGTGACTTTTAGCTAGGTATGGTGGGTATATTTCATAATGGCATGCATGCATTTGTTGCTAGTTTATTTTTTCTTCTATATTGGAGTATTTAAGATGAATTTTGAGTGTATTTACATATATCTTGCCGTGTATGTCACGTTACTCATGGGATTGTGTGGAGATGTCCATTCAACAACTGCAGCCATATTGACGGAGGTCACCTTCACATTCTGGGGTGCAGCCACTTTTGCTTCTAAAGTAAAACAGTATGACCAATGTCAGTAATACATCTGATAATGCAGTTTTATAAAGAATTATGTAATATATAAAGTACTCCATAATGTATTTGGATTAAGTATTATAAAGTATGTAAAGTATTACGAGAGTCTAAACAGCTGATAAAAACATCAAAAACAAATCCATCATTAAGAAGTTTTTAACTTCAAATCATTGCTTCTGGCTAAAAAGTGGTCCACTATCTGCAATATTGCTTTCTCCAGTGAAAAAGTCATCTCCTCTGAATCAGGAGAGAAATATGCACAGATGAAGCACCATTTAAAAGTGAAAACAGTTTTAAAGAAAATCGTAGAAGGATTTTGATGTAAGAGGACAACGGGTGTTATTATGAACTCATATTTTGGACAGAAGCAATGGTTTAAACGCTTTAATGATGGATTTATTTCTTACAAACACAAGTCGTGAGGGGAACTTTTCCCTTTTCATATTCAATAGGTCCACAAGAAATACTGCTATGATCTGTGACAGTCGTAAATACATGTATCTTTGTGCAACATATTTACACTTTGTGCAACATCTGTGTTTCCTCTCTGCTACCCACCAGTGGGTCGTGACCCAGTTTGAAACCCACTGCACTAAATAACATTTCTGAAGAAATGGCATCCGCAAACAAATAATGCTATTGACAGAATTAATTTAAAAGTTACTTTTAATCAGTTGCTGTCAGATTGGTGTTTGGTGGATGTGTGAAGCCAGTTCACACAGGCATCCTATAGCAGAGGAACCACAGGTGTAGTTCATCACATTAACTATGTTAATGTTCCACTCACCTTTGACAACCAGTGTTTAAATAAATTGGAACACCACATCTATTGTTTGTTTTACCATTTAAAACATATGTACTATATATTTTGCTTGGAAAGTGTACTTTGTTCTATATATAGACATTCATACATTTTAAAGAGTCTAAATACTTTTGGGACCCTTATTAACGCACCTTGGAGATGAGCATATTAAAAAAAAATATCAATTTACACTAGTATCATAAAATTTTGTAATGGTCAAATTAAAATAATAAATGGAAAAAATTATTTTGTCATCATTTGACTTCAAATGGTTACCTAAAATCAATAATCATAATCATAAATAAGCAAGCAATACTCACCAGCAGAGGTGGGGTGAACATCCTTTGTCACAAAGAATATGAGAGCCAACAGACTGAGTTTCACAAACATGACTGACAACATCACTGATGGAGCAAGCGGTGGCAGGGATCTTTTAAACCAGTGTCTGTTTGTCATGTGCTCAAGAGGAACAGGAGCAATATGACTCAACAGCTTCCTCTTTGAGATGGGATTATAAAAAACAAAAAACACTTGTCACAACAGACGAAAGTCATGAAGGATAAAAATGCTGAGAACTAGTAAAACAGTATTTATTTTTGTGTATTTGCTTCTTTTTTTTTGTCGTCAAATGTTGGCATTGATATAATTGATATTCTAATTTACATGCAGATTGACAAACATTTTTTTCATGGAATTTTTTTTAAACCAATAATTTCTATTGCGTTTATATATAGAGATTCATTCTTGGAAAGTAAAATGTATGACTACCAGGGGGAAAACAGGGAAACTCTACTGTGGTTTGGAAATAAACAGGCTCAACACTATAGTGGTTACTGTGTTACTTACCTCACCATTCAGTTACAGAAGTGTGAAGCATTTATGTAGTTCAAAATGCAGCTGCTAGAATTCTTACTAAGTCAAGAAAATCCGATCATAAAACCCCTGTTACGTGCCGGTATGTAGCCTATTGTTTTGATTTCTCTTTTTCCGCTTTTACTTTCACTTTTACAGTGCCATACCATTGATCCACGCACGTCACCTGTTCCCCGTGATCACCTGACGTTTGCTGACCAGCAATGCATTTATGAGACGTTTCCTGACAGATGTTTAATAGACATTTGGGGCCAGGTTTTCTAACCAGGGCAAATTAGCGTGAGAGTGCAATTCCAAAAAAGCGCTAATGGGAGTGGAAATTTCTGCGGGTGATTTACTGACAATGCGCAAATTAAAGAACACAGACGCAGCCAGATCATTTCCATAATGACCAACACAATCTACCAAGAGCAGCGCAAATAGCGTCTGCTTTTAAAACATGCTTTTTTTGGAGCGTTAAATAATGGCGCAAATACCAGTAATTTGAGGAGCGCAAACGTTAGTAAATGATGCTGCGTGATTTATTTTAATAATCTCCTCCCATAAATGTTGCGTCTGAAAGGGAAACTCCTACAAACTCCTAAATCAAACACACCTGAACTAATCAAGGATTGGTTGAAAAACCACAGTCCAGGGGTCTCATTTATAACTCTCCGTAGATTTCATCCTAAAAGTGTATGTAGGCACAAAAGTTTTCAGATTCCTTCCGGAATCACCAAAAATAAGAGCTTACAACTAGTTTTACTATGCATAACCTCATCTGCATATCATTTCTATGCATATTCCCATCCACGTGACACCATGTTTAACACCGTTAAAGGTACAAGACATTAAGGAAAAACTCATCAAGAATTATGCAAAAACACATTTTATTTATTTTAGTTATTTGAGATGTTATAATTGTTCTCTAGTTGTGTTAAAATAGATTAAACAATAATTATTTAACAAATATTATATTTGTATAATAAACTGGGGGGGTCTGTCATCAGAGTGGGCGGGCCTGTGCCCGTCAGGCCCGTCCCCTGCCTACGCCCCTCTGCCTATAGCACTCCTCGCTGTCATTAAAACATAACATACCACAGGGAAAGTAATCAAGCGCATCCACTACAAATAGGCTATGTCTAAATTCATATAATTTTGGTTTAAAGGTGACATATTATGCCCCTTTTTACAATATGTAATATAAGTCTCTGGTGAAGGTATGACTCAAAGGAAGTGACATCATTTGACTGAGGTGAAGCGGACACTGATCAAGGGTGAGTTCTGTCATTGAATTGTATCATTTTAAGCTTGTTTTTGTATGTTTGTTTTGAGGAGGACGAGCTAAAGGGTCAGGCCCTGTCACGGTAAAACATCCCAGAAAATAATGATTTTTAAAAAAATCCAAAACATGTCTAAAAAAGTTACTGCACCCACGTACACGTAGCACAACCCGGGGTTATTGTTTTCACTCCTGTCTGCCATTCTAGTTGGTAATTGTTATTGTTAAATTAATTTTAACATATTAGTAGTACCATTACAATTTTGTTTTCACTCCTGTCTGTGTTTGTGCCATTGTGCAATTCTAGTTGTTTATTTTTATTGTATCTGGCCATGTTATTGTTAAATGGAATTTTAATAAATTGTTAAATGAAATATGTTTTTATATTGAAATAAAATGAAATTAGTTTATTAATTTGTCAGTCATATTCTAATGAATTAGGCCCTTATTATATGTCCTTGGCTGAACTTTACCATAGTCTAATATTACATTAACATTAAAATTATAATAATAATTTAAAATAGGAATGCTTATGAAAACTTAAATAAAGAACACAAAACATAACTTTTTCTGAATCAACGAAATCCATAAAGTTAGTCCTGTCAGGCCTCGGTCAGTCCTGTCACACAGGACATTATGTTATAAAAATGTAATATTTGAGGAAATATTGATGAATTAATCTCTGTAACTGTGTAGATGAAGGTTGGAGTATATATCCACTACTATGTTTTTGAAAAAATCTCCTATGTAAAGGCAGTTTTTTTACAACTATACGAGTACCTGGCGGTGTATTCTGTGATTTTGTGTACTACAGTTGACCGAAAAGTTGCTTATATTCCTTATAGATATTACTAAACCATGTTAGATACAATCAGGGACATGTGACCAATAAGAAAATGCTATTTGTATCAAAGAAATTCATTAGCAAACCATTCTAACATGTACAAATTTGTCTGTGACAGGGCCTGACATTTTAGGGGTGAAATGCGTATAAAAATGTATTTATTTCAATCATAAAAACATGCTGAGATGGCATGATATGTGTTTCATATAGATTAACATGTCCTCCATATGACTCAACGTTCAGATTTAAGATATTTTTTTCACCCAAGATTTTTACAAGTGGAAATGTATGTTTCTGGTAGAATGTCCCATAAACGATCGGCCACCTGCAGGATCCTCACATGCGATAGTCTAGTAGCCGGGACAACTTCTTTATGTTTACAGACGTGATGTAATGACGCAGTGCCATGCTCGAATTTCCCGCGAAAACCTACCCGTACCACTCAAATTAGAAAACATTATTATAAGCTAACCGTTGAGAATCGGGCTAAAGTAAGGCGATCGTTTTGAACACTGGCTGGTTATGTACTTGCTCAAATATTGATTTCGGATCATTTTTAACCAAAAAAAGTTACGGACTGCAGCTTTAACTTCTGCATAATGACTTTATATAATTTCAGTGCTTATCTCCATTAATGAGAGTGGAATATTTAATGTAAATGCATATGATGAAATGAAAACAGTTTCAAATCGTTGTTTACTTCATTACTTTTCTCTCTCCAGGAAAAAAAAGTCCGTACGCATGGTTCAGAGTTTGCATGCAGGTGCGTAAATTTTCCCGTCAAGTTTGTTTTTTATAAATCCCACCTTTTGCGTAGGCAGTGGCGTACGCCTATTTCAGGGCAGGTTTTGTGCGTACGCAACGGTTATAAATGAGGCCCCAGGTGAGCTGAAGCAGGTTGGAAATACAATTTTCAGGACAGTGGGTCCCCAGGAGTAGGGTTGAAGACCTAGGATTTAAAAAGTATGTAAAACGGACTTTTTAAAGTTTGTCTAATTTTCAGATGCTTTCTAGAAGACGCGCTCTTTAAAAGACATCTTGGAGATGTGTGTGTGCTAGCTGGGGTATTCAAGGTTAGGGAAGATGACAGGCAAGCAAGTCACGTGATATAGCCTACATTGTGTTTGTATTAGAAACTTTAATAAAAGGTTGAGTTCCACCCTCTGCATTTTTATTTTAGAGTAGACTCTAAAGATTTCTTTCTTTCTTTGTTTTGCTTTTGTAGATACTTATAAATTGGCTTTATATATGTACATTGTAGATAGTTGATCAATTATCCACCTTTTCCTTGAGTAGCCTAAACGATGAGTGTTGCCATGATGGATTCTAACTTCCGATTGTATGCTGTCCTGCTCTGGCCCCTATAGAAACCCATGTTAAAACAGGGTAAAAAAAAAAAGCAACTGAATTAATAGAACTTTTTGAGCATTGCTGAAAATGTAATGTAGAAACGTTCATTTTCTGTAAAGCTGCTGAAACGATACTCTAAAAAATGCTGGGTTGTTTCAACCCAACTTTGGGTCAAATATGGACTAACCCAACTAGTGGGTTAAATTTTTAAAACCCAAAAGATGGGTTAGTCCAGGGCTGTCCAAACTCGGTCCTGGAGGGGCAGTGTCCTGTAGAGTTTAGCTCCAACTTGACTCAACACACCTGACTGGAAGTTTCTATGCCTAGAAAGAGCTTGATTAGCTGGTTCAGGTGTGTTTAATTAGGGTTGGAGCTAAACTCTGCAGGCCACCAGCCCTCCAGCACTGAGTTTGGACAGCCCTGGGTTTGTCCATATTTGACCCAAAGTTGGGTTGAAACAACCCAGCATTTTTTAGAGTGTAGGTATTGTGAAAAGTACTATACAAATATATGTGAATTGAATTAAAATAAAATTATTCATGAAAAGATTTCCTCAGTATAAGTCACATAGGGTACAAATACATTGTTTGACTGATAAATCCAAAAAAAAAAAAAGTTATAAATTCAGACTAATATTAAATGGTTTATAATTTTATCTAAGATTTTTTTTCAAAAAACATATTCATGATGTAATTGTAAATAGCATTTATTTTATTTTACTTTTTCTACTACCTATTTCATGAATGACATATTTCCACTAAACCATGTTCATTTTAAAACGCCACGGTAGCTTGACTTCCTTTTAATTATCGAACATTTAATTTCTCCTAGACATTTTCAGTAGAAATATTGCCGAGTATGTCAGATGATAATGCAGTTTTTTACCTGCACTGTGACAAAGCAAATCCATCATAAAAAAGACAAACAGTGGCCAAAATGTGTTTCCATTTTTATCAACTAATGCAGCGGCAAGTTAAAAAAAAATCACAATTACATTTCATAGTCTGGTAAAATATTCCTTTTGCAATTACAAATATTATGTATGATTTCAGAACAAGAGTTAGAATCAAATAGCACATCTCAGAAATAAATATGCAGTACTCTGGACATGCTCATCTCCAAGGTGCAAAAATGTTTGTAATTATAACGGTTGTGCATACAATATATTATGATCATTTATT